AAAAATTAATACATGTACTTCAAATTTGTTTTTCTTGCTTTTATTAGTTATACATTTGCCATACTTTTCTTGGATATTTTATTAATTTACATATTTAACACATTAAAGCAAAATTATTTTTAGTTTTATGTCATGTAAAAAGGTAAACAAATATAAACATAATTTTGTTTTATAGGAAATACAGCTCATGAGTAATATGAATGCGAGTTTCCACCAACGCGAGTGAGCACTGTGATTCGACGCTAACAAATAAATACCAATTAATTTCTTGCATATATCATTAAATAAGCAGATAGATATATACTTTCGCCTGACCCTATGTTACTCTGATCTAACCAAGTCGATGAGTTAGCTGATTCAAACAGTTACGCGAATTGGCTTGGCAGTGATGCCGTCGTGACGCATTCCAGGAAGCGTATTCGTCGAGTCGTTGCTCATCTTGGAATTTGCTCAATTGTTGCGATATTTGCGCGAAAATAAACAAACATCACATAAACATAAAAGACGCAGACGAAGACGAAGAAGAAGATGAGGAGGAGGAAGAGGAAGACGACGCGAAACGAGCGCTGTTTACTAACGACTTATAAAGACTTGGGCAAGAGGCACAGATAACTTAACTTAAGCCGTATATCCGTATCTCTATCTGTATCTGTTTCTGTTTCTGTTTCTGTTTCGGTTTCTGTTCTCTTCTCGCCTCTTTTGTTTCGGCATCTGTCAGATAAATGCGTTTTATACAATGTATGTGCATGTGTGTGCGTGTGTGTGCGTGTGAGTGTCTACAAATGTCAGCGCTGCTTTGCAAACTGGTTTCAACTTTGCCGAATGCATTCATTCCTTCAATCGGTCAATCACTCAATCATTCCGTTGATCAGTCTGGCATTCAACAAGTGCCATCTCGAATCTCGGTCCTAATTCGAAAATCAACTCACACTGAATCAGATCTTTATCCAAAGCGTGCGGCGCCTTTGCTTTATGCGGGCGTTTTGCCGCTAACTATGCCCCTTCCATCTCTATCCCTGCTCACGCCCTCGCTCCTACCTTCGCCCCTCCAAGCGCCCCCACGCTTCCACTCCCCCCTCTCTTGTCAGCCAGCTCGTCCACGTTCGACATGTTTATGTGGTCGTTCGTAATGCCTTGAGAGTTCATATGAATGTCGTCTTCTGCTTCTTCTGCCCCACGCCCCCCGCCCATCGTCTTTTAATGCATTCACAGTTCATTGGCTAGACTTTGTCATCGATAGAACTTGCAGCAGCAGCAGCAGCAGCAGAAGAACAACTTCAGCTCAAGGGGCCACAAGCGGCCACAGAAGGGGTAAGGGAGAGGGAGGGGGAGGGGTAGCTGCACATTCACATTCGTTAATGGCAGCGCTACATTTGCTGTTAGACACATTTGCTGGAGTTCATGGGTGTCAACCACTTGAGCATTGTGGCCCCCAAATGGGGCTCAGCATAACTTCACAGCATTCTACATGCGAATATGTTGGCCATGGCCTAGAGATGGCAGCGTGTCACGAATGATGCGCTCTAACTAATAACTGAACTGAGGTGGGAATATACAGTGAGAGAACTGGCTAATCTATGAATGAATGAATATATGAATATAGAAATATATATGTCTGTTTCATTCTTATATCTTTTTTATTTCAAATCAGTTTTTGATACATTCGCAATCCAGACGAACATCAGTAGTACTACCCGAGCTGAAGTATCAATAGACAAGCTGAAGCCAATGATATAACTTGTATAAAAGCAGTTTAGATCTAACATGGATTTTAAAGCTAAAATTAAGATATATGTAGATCGTTTTTTCTACACGAGATGTCAGCACTACTATTTTTGGTAGCAGTATGTTTCGTTAGTTGTTCATAAATCTTACTAGAAAGGGGTTTTAGTTTTACTTTAGTTTTTTAGTTTTACTTTAAAATAAACGATGACTAAAATGAGTACTAAAGACGGTAAATTTATATAATATACATTAGAATATAGGTATATTTATTCGTACAGTGCGCAGTCGCATGATTATTTTGCGAACAGCTATATGGTTAAGAAGTATTGTCTGTCTAAGATTCTCAGATACATTTCAAAATATTGAACTACATTCGGATAATAAACTGTTATTAAAACTAAGACTGATGCATGTAAAATATACCCAAGTGATAAGAACATCTATTAATATACAATGCTTTATACAATATATACGCCTGCTTATATGGTTAGATAGGTCATACCACGGAAATGTTTACTACGTAAGCTTCACAGACTTAATAGAATAAAATATACCTAAGAAGTAGTGTATTTATTATATACGGTGCTCATTTGCACTACTATAATCATAAAGAGATACATATATGCTTAGATGGTCGTAAATCTCACTAGGGAGATTCGCAATCTCAAATATGATTAAGGTCTATGAGTTCAACAGTTTCATTTGATTTCCTGTAAATCTACATGAAAATAAATCCCATCTCTAGAGCTGAAAGCTCTCCGCTTTTAGCGACGATATCATCATTATGACAGCTCATTTGACGGCGCACTTAGTGCGCACAGCTCCAAATTGAAGACGACGCATGAGTCTTGAATGAATCTCAGCGATGATTCTCGCTTGCCGCTGGCATCTGCGACTCATGTATCGAGTCTCGTGTCTCAATTTCATGCAATTAAGTTCAATTCGAGCTGGTTGTAGGCCTTGCGTGTGTAGGTGTGCATGTGTGTGTGTGTGTGTTGCCTTGCAGCGCAGCAACTGTGGATCGAGTGGCTCTCGTTGAACGCACGAGTGCAATTGCAGCAACACCCCCGCACACCGCCCTCAGCCAGGCAGCATAGTGCAACGGCATCGGTGGCTCGGTTTCGTGTTGCAGCTTTTGAAGTAAACAAACAAAAGGCAAAAAGCAGCAGCAGTCGCAGCAGCAGCAGCAGCAGCAGCAGCAGCAACCACCGCAGATCGCACCACCAAAGGGCCACTCGATGTGCTCCCAATGTTCCATAAATAGAGCTGCAGCACGTTAAGAATTTCGTATCGTTCGTCTTTTCAAACAATTGATGCACGTTTCAAGTGGCTTCACAGCTTTGCCCACTGAATAGACCCAGTCCGTGCCCCCGCCTCGTGTCTCATGCCTCCTGCCCAATGCTCACCTCACCCTGGCACCTTGCTCGCCTTTCTTCTAGCCCATTGCAAAACCTCCAACTGTGCCATTCCGAGTCCAATTCCTGCGATTGCTCCTGCATCCGTTGAGAATCTCATGCGAAATTCTTGATTTGCATTTTCTTGATAAAGATTTCTTTGCATCCCAACCAAATGCCATTCCATATTCCATTCCACTGCAACAAATTCCATTCCATTCGTTTCTATTGTGTTTCCTCGGAGTGTTATAAATCCTTTGCACAAATATATATAACTAAATATATGCATATTTGTGTATATTTTTATATGTATGTATATGTATGTCTGTCTATTTAGCTTTAACTGTTTGTGTTTTTTCATATGTTCTGATAAAACAGACAGCTATTAGCACATCGTATGGTTTCACTTCCAATGCGTGATTCAACCTATCATTATCTATTACATATAATATATATTTATAGTCAACAACTTAAGTCTGTCGATAAATTGCCAAGGCTGTCATATGTGGAAGAAGCTAACATTACTAATTGTTGTTACAGTAAAAAAGTCAACATTTTACTTATATAATACTAATATCTATATATTTGTATCCAGCGATATCTAATATCAGATATGAACATAAGTTGGATAAGTTATGGATGAAGCATATGATAAACTTTTACTGCGAATGGTATATAGGGATATACATTAACGATTTCAAGTCTCTGGCTTGACTGACATTAATCATAAATAAGCGGATGGTTTGAGCTCCTTTGAGTAATCTATCCATATACTTTTATTAACTATCTCCTATCTATTGGCAAGTCCAGAACGTGGCATCTTTTTGGACGCCTTCAAATATACTCGGTATTTTCTAATAGTCCCAGGCTTTCTATTCAATCAGTTCAGGTTATACAAGAACCCGAGTTTCGTGCACTAAAAGTGTTGCATATTTATTTATATATATTTTTAACTCTAATATGTACCAGAGATGAATTAAATTAAGTGAAATAAATGAGAGCCCCATAAGAATAAAATATGAATTTTTTCATATATTGTGGAAGAAGTGTCATTAATTAAATAATGACCGAGCTAATAAAGATTTACTTTAAAAATTTGTTGTTTATTAACATTAGATAAAATAGTAA